ATAATAGAACAAACCACAAACCTATGAGCTTATCTCCGTGTTGTGGCAGCAAATAACAAAATGGTAAATCTGGAGCCAAGAACGGATGCATAGCTGCTTGACACGGCGACAGCCGTTCACCTACATCACAAAAAGATACAGTTCAATTGTCTAACTACGCAAGAACTAAACTTAAGGTTGATTTTTACTGGCGCGTTTTTAGCTACGCACGTTAACGCACGTAAATAAAATAGAGGCAAGACGAAAACTGCTGAGCTTAAACGAGAAGGTGAGCGAGGTTCAACTTTTACGCTTACGAGCGACCTTTCATGCATTGCCTCTATTTTATTTGCGAACTTAAATTTTATGCACGTACGCACGTAAGAATTGCACGAAACTGGAAATCAACCCTTTGGGTGCCGCCCCATTAAACGTAATACAGCTCACTTAGACTCTGAAAATGACTATCGCAAAGGTTGGCAAAACGTCGGTCACTGTCATCAACAGTCTTACACAGGACTACCCAGACGATCATATTCAACTCACTTATGAAATGACTCCTAAATTGAAACCAATCACTGTCAGAACAGTTAAGTCGTACAGAATAGAGAGGAAAAGTGTGATATCACGTTCTCATGGTGGCAAAATTTCTGTATGTCAACAATTTTGTTTGACAGGGACGGTCATTGGCATTGTCGAACGGTGAAAGAAAAAACATGCATGGGCTACCGTTTTGTTCCTAAGTACAATTATACCACAGGAAAGTCATACACGTCAATTTTGCAGGAAACAGTTTGTTGAGGACAAGAAATTTTGCTACCATGGCAACGCGAAGAAACGACTTCTCCTCTCCATTCCCTTTAATTTCAAAAGACCATCCAGCCAGATCAATCTGTTCCTAAAAAAAGTCTCACAACAGTGATAGGAGAACTCTCGAAAAAAATAAAAAAAATCAATTGCATTTTTAATAAATAATGATCCGTCGCGCTGGCCAGTCCTATCTTTTGGCAAGCGCCATTAGCTAAAAAGCGTCTTAAGAAAAGAAAACAAAAGAAAAGATTCCGGATTCCACAAGCAAAATTTTCCCGGATCCCGGAATCTGGATTCCCTTACATGGTGCGAGTACCCCACCTTACTACAGTGAATGAGTGCTTTGGTTCACCTTGTTTCGATACAAATATACCAGCTTTTCTCATGCAAATTATATTAAAAAATAGTAAGAAAAGATGAACATCATTTTCATAAGGAATTAGGAAGGACTTTATCAAAACAAGATCATTTCCAGCCTGGCTGCTACCTTGCCTCGTCCCCAGCCCTCATTATTCCGGGCTGCAAACCAGTATCCGTATTAGGGTCACGAGGTCTGCCCAATGCTACTAGTAACAGCCACACTTACTTGGCTTGTACTGCAGCAAACCAACCAGAAAACTAGCAAAGGCAAAATTCCGTGAATGAAGCACATTTTTCATTAAGGAAGTTACAAGGTGGAGCTGGTTGGCTTCTGAAAGCAGGAAAAAAATAGAGAAAGTTTAACTCCTTTTGCTGGCCTACTGACACTTTTTAAGGGCCTGTTTACAGAGAGGTGGGAGACACCAGGTAGGTGAGTTGACAAGCTTAGGTGGGGTAACCCGCCTGCTCATATAATCTTTTATTTTAATGTGATCACGTTTACGTGATAGGTGGGGTGACCATATGAGAGATTATATGGACAGGAGGGTTACCCCACCTACCTGGGGTCCTCCACCTCCATGTAAACAGTCCCTAAAGGGACAACAGCACGGCAATTCCCTTCACCAAGTCTGAAAAAACTGCAGTGGAACTGAGCCCCATGCAAACATGATTGGTCCATGAAACTTTAGTCGCATAATTAAGGTGACGCATCACATCCCGGTAATAAGCCTTTCCACACTATATGATACCAAAATTAATTTACGCAAGGAATAACTAGATGCCACAGTTAGACTCAAAATAGTGTGTAGTTTGTACTCCATGTACGACCCTATGAAAGTTGATTTTGTACTCCAAGAAGGCGGGCAGGCCATTACCAGACCAAGGAAAGCGAAAATAGCTTAAAAGATCACCAATAAATGTGTAGGCGCTACTTTTAGTCATATCAACTTAAAAGTTTGGATAAAACCTTGAGTATTTCCTTGTCCTCTAAAAATTTGGCAATGATCTCCTTTTCATTATTTAGTTAAAGCCTCTGTTTGGGTCGAACCATTTTTGTGCGTTACCATGAGCGTATCGTCCTGGCTTTAAAGGGCCGGGTTTTTTACGGGAATTCCACAAGGCCCGGGACCGGTAAAAACACCGCAAACAGGACTCGTTTAATTCCCGTTACAACACATCATTCATTCCAGGAGTGAGAGCTGATACACAAAAGACTCCCACAATAAGAAGGTCGATTTTAAGTGATTTCGTGGAAAATGAAGAAAGTGACAGGTATCTTTTTTAACGATTTTCACGTGTCACAATGGAGAGATTTGAAATCACGTTTACGTCAAACATCAATTTGTACCACGTGACCAAGTTTCCCTTTACCTATAATTAACCAGTTGACTGTTCATTACATTCACAAAAAAGTTAGTATTTTTACGCCAGTTTCATCCATAAGAATTAGTTTGTACAGTTTTTTTATCTGTTCACTTCCTATTTTGAACAACTGTCACCTTGAAATTGACGTTTGCCGTAAACTTGATTATAAATCTCTCTAACGCCGCCACTGGAAAACGGTTAGTCTTTCCTTTCAAGTGTCCTTCCTTTACCGCGTCTTTATTAGTGGTCAAAGGCAAGGCAATTATGGGGTATTTCTGAAGAAAACCAAACACTTTTTATGTTTTCATTGCTGCGAACACATTTTTGGGTTACTCCAAATTTCGTAACGCTGCCTTTTTCACGTCTGATATGAAACTTACCTGGAGTTTGAGCAACAAATTCTGATAAGTCTGGAAAAAACTTGCCGGACTGGAAAGGACTCTTCGGTAAGTGACCCAGGATGGAGGTTACCTGAGTAAGAAGTCATACGAAGGTATAACTACAAAGCAAAGATTCTTTGAAAATACGCAGTTTCTCAAGACTGGCGAAAGATAAACTAGGGACTCAAAGCGTTCATTGGGGGAGTTGCAAAGGAGGTCTCTGGTAATGGGGTAGTTTGCATTGTGTGGTTGGGTTGACTGTTGTGATACAAACCCTCCTGCTTTTATTATAAAAATGTTGAGAAAAATACAATCGAGCCTCTATTCAGTAACCTCCAGTTATTCGGACACATTCTTCTTCGCGGCAAGAGGACCTTCATTAAGCGACCAATGGTTCCTTTTCAGCTTAAAGGTGATGTTCCACGAGACGATTCGCAACGACGATTTTTCGCGTAACACAGTGTTGCAATATTGTTGCGACATTGTTTCGAATGGTTACAACACTGTTCCAGCATTGCAACGCTGTGTTGCGCTAAAAATCGTCGTTGCGCATCGTCCCGTGTATCATCACCTTAAAGAAGAATTCCATCAGTTAAGGCCAACTTCAACCACGCTTCCACCAGAAACTATAAATTGGGCTATTCTGTCTTCCTAACTCAAACGAGGTAAAAGACAGTTACATTAGATCAATACAGTGACCAGAGAGCGGCGGGGTCCGATGAGTGGAGGCTGTTTTCTTATGTTACAGACACAGTAGATCAGTTACTCACCACTTGCAGTATTTCAGGTTTGGTTCGTCCTAAAAATAGGGGTTTGCCAATGTGCAACTAAAAAAGAGAACACAGTTATTAGATACGTACGGCGGTAACTTGGAGAAGAATCTGAATGGATTGTTAGGGCCAATACCTCCCAAGTTTGAGCATTAACTACGTCGCTATTAACAAAGATATAAGAAAACCATCATTACAATATTATCAGAAATAGATGAAAATTTGTTATGACCAGTGTCACGTTGACATCTAGGTGTAATTACATCATTACCTATGTTACTTGCAGCCGCTTTCTCTGCACTGAACTGATCATTCGACGTAGTTTAAATGCTCAAACTTGGAAGGTATCGCCCTGAAAAATATGTTTAGCCTCCTTAAAAAGCGATTGGAGAGTTTAAAACTTGAAGCAGCAATACAGGAAAGGGTTGTAGTTAAAGTGCACGACTTAGACAAAATTCTCTTAAAACAAGGCTTCTAGTACTTCATCAAATATCCCAACATGTCACAGCACATAATTTTCTGTCTTTGACTATAAAATTACAGACTGGGCCCCCGTTGTTAAAAAGAAGGATAATGCTACCCATTGCCCCATACATTCTATCAAGTGGATGGGGCAATGGGTTTTCCTAATACTTATCCCATGGACAGTAATATCCACTGATTGAACAACTGGGGCCTGAAGATGGCAACAACCGGTTTCGCTATTCGTCGATTTCGCTACGTCCTAGTTCGCAACAAATTCGCTACATATTGCTTTCTGTAAACCACTGAAAATATTCCTTGAATCGCTCTAGAAAAAAGGTCTTTTCATATATTTCTCATTCTTCAAAGCTTGCTCCCCAAAGGGTGCAAGTATTGGACTTTGCCAATAGGCCGCGAGACGAATATGTAGGTAGCGAACTCGAAAGTAGGGAAACCGTTGTCTGAAGATACACCGCTTCTATGTACAGATAGGGTTACATTACTGTTCCATACCCGTCAACTAGAGTACCAGGTAGAACGATGATACATGTTCCCCCGCCCGTACCAGTAGGCAGAAACTGTGTATCCTGAATCTATTATTCTAGTTTGGATTTAATGAAAAACTTTTTCACCTCAGCTAAAATACATCCGACGGACCACATGTCAATTTCCTGCCCAAAAGGGACACCAAACATCACCTGTGGAGAATGCAACACGACCTTGATTAAAACAAACTAGAAATGCAAGGGATTCTTGACTTTATAGAAAAACTGTCTTAACATCTCTCTCCAGTCAGCTGCACCTTATCTCTGGAATGCATTACCTTCGGCTATTCGCAACATGAAGACATTGGACACTTTTAAGACTGCTGTTAAAACTCACTTTTTTTTAATTTAGCTTTTAAATAGATTTAATTGTTGGCTTTTATTGTAGGTTTTTTTATAGTTTTTAATCCTTTTTATTGTAGTTTTTTATAGTTTCTCACGCTTTAGTCACCTTTGAAATAAATTTAATATAACAATATTGTAAAGCGCAAACGAATATATTCATATAGAGGTTTGCGCCATATAAATGTAAATTATTATAATTATTAGTAATGTCGGTGACTCCTAAACAAAATTTCATTTACATCTGTGGCTTATTTGTTAAAAGAGCAACACTAAAAGTTCACTTTGGATGTTACTACCTACAACATCTCGTTGTCGTATTCACCTATTATGGTACTTTTTAACTATAAACAGCTTTTCATAGAGATATTAAGCAGTGAATAAACATGTTTCCCCCTTGAAAAAGCGATGCTTCTTTTTGAAAAATAATCATCGAAATAACGCTGCAGCGCCTTCAAATTTATCGGGATAAAGAAATTACTATGGGTAATCAGTTAATTATTAGGAGCCATTAAAAGCCATTGTTCACCTCTGGTGCTCTGTAAATTATTGTCTGTAGATCAAACTCATCATAATAAAGGGAAACCTGTAAGGGAAAGAAGACAAAATACTCGGTTGACTATGCTGCCAAGTCATTAATTTTTAACATAATGCAGTAATAATAGTCAATGTGGGTCCAAGGTGCCTACAATGACCACAGTGTCAAAGATGATTAAATTGCGCAAGATCAACATGCTGCCCACAATTATCATAATGTCCACGATGACAACAGTGACCGCAATAACTATGGTGCCCATTTGCCTAGTTCCTAGATCTCATTATTCCGCTTGGCCAAAGCGTTTCGGGTCATGTGGTCCAAGCGAAAATGTGAGGGCGTTTCCCGCCCTTTCGCCTCCGGATACGTCACCGAAGTGAATTGACCGAGAGGGACTGGGAAAACGCCGTATGGGGACTAGGCAAGGTGGCTATCACAAAAAGTGCCCAAGAGGACTAAGGTGCCGTCAATAAGAATTGGTCCCACAGTGACTGTAGTGCCCATGACAACCGTGTTGCCCAAACTGACTATAGTGCCTACAATGACAACAGTGTCCACAATGACCAGTGTCCATGGTGACCCAGGGCCAACAATGACTACCTGCCCATGATGACCATCGTACTCAAGATAAACTCAGAGCTGACCATAATCACAGTTTCAACAATTAGCACAGACTCAATGATGACCACAGTGCCTACAATATGCACGATGAACAAGGTGCCCACAATGAAGACAATACTCACAGATGACTGCTGCTCACTATGAACATGGTGTGCATGATGACCACAATGCTCACAAAGAACATGGTGGCCACAGTGACCATGGTTTCCTTCGATTCATGACAGTGCCCATGAACATGAGAGTGCCCATAATGACCACAGTGCCTACAGTAACCAATGCCCACAATGACCATGGTATGGTCCCCATCATGCCCATGATCAAGGTGCCCACAAGAAGCAGTGCCATGTTTGACATGTTGCCCACAGTCAACTGTGCTTGAAAAATAAAAGCACTCAAGAGATTCCCAATAAGAAAACAATACAATACTTAAGGATTACAATACTTTAGGGATGAAAAGAACAGAAGTGATGGATCATGTAATATGCAGTGTAATCATGGTGTTGTGACTATGATCCAACATACCTCTCTATGAACATATCGTATTGCATTTCCAAAGTCAATCACTTTTATCTTGATTTCTTCACCTAAACATCAACACAAATGTTTTCTAGTGTTTCTATGTGCAGTCAGTTTAGTCCAGTGACATCACTTTGACGATTAATATCAATGTCTTACAGCACATATTATTACTACATTAGCCCCAATCTGATGTCTTTTGACCAAACTGTCAGTAGACAGAAAGTAAATAAAATTTAATGTGTAATACGAAACACCAACAACACCTTTTTGTGGATAAAATGACTGTTACTTGTACAATGTAGCTACAAATGTACAAAATAAAGTCAAAGTATTTGGAGACATTAAGAGAGTGTTTTATGCTCAGAATGAATCAATAGATCTCCTAATAGACATAGCACTAAAAATGAAGTGCCAAACTAAGGAATTTAACCAGTTTTACCAACAAGTAGTCATTCCACTTTGTCTGAAAGAAACTAGGGAGGGAAGTTCATGTACTTATGAACACAGCATATTTTGGCAAGAAAAGAAGTCTGTAAAATGTGCTGAAAGTCTATTATGCTGTTAGCAGAAGATGGAATCTCTAGGTGATGGGTTCCCAACAATTGAAAATCACGTAAATCAACTAAAAATATATCTTTACGCAAGCGTAGGTGTGCCATCTTCCATGTAGACTCAGCTGTTGAGGTAAGGACCTGCATGCATCTTGTAGATGTCAGTCATGCCTAAGCAGTTTCATACACATGCTCAGGTGAAGCACTTGGTGAAGACACCTAGCCTCAGAGGACACACTCAGTTATGCCCTAAAAGAGACCTGTATGCCTTTGACAACTATAACCCATGAAAGGGGTAATAAATGGGACAGTCACAGGTGCCCAGGATGTGCCTTCAAGCTATGGAGAGATGGAGTCACCTGGTTACCTGGCCCCATGCCATACCTGCCCTTGCTCTGACAGGGAAAAGTAAATACACCTCTATTTCAAGTAAGTCTTAGTGATTTACAAACCTTCTTCAATAAGAATGTTTTCTGGTTTTAGGTCAGCATGGATGACATTCTCTCTGTGTAATAAAATGATAATTATTTGTAAGGCTTAAGGTTATTTGTCTTGAGTGTAATAGCTCAACAAGTCTTGAATTACGATGAAAACATAGAGAATAAGAAGTTCCATTGGAACTGTACAGTCTGTAAATGTTGTCAGCAGAATCGCTCACTGTCCTCATCCCTCAAATGCTCTGGTATGGTGCAGAGGCCTGGCATTGGTTCTCTACCACAGGCAGGTCAGATTGTGGAACGTTTTCATCAATGCTGTTTGTGAACAATTTGTGGAATTAAATGCCATAATTAAATTTTTAAATGACGCTGTTCTTAAAAGGGCTAAAATACCAAGCATTGAATCCATCTTGCTTCAACCACAACTGCACAGTGCAGGACATAGAAGAAGGACAGAGGAACGTGCCTACCAAAAGCAGTTTTCTTGGGCAATCTCCAAGATGGTAAATGCAACCAGGGTTACCCAAGGAAGTGCTTCAAGGACTAACATAGGAGTCAATTTGCTACAGCTGACATACCACATGAATCATCGAAACTAAAAGGAGGAGATCCATACAGGAAAAATGCAGGTATCAGAAAGAAAGGGCAGTAAGTGTAGCACATATCTCTCCAGTGGCAGCCTTAACCTGCCCTCAGTGTCTCCTTCCTTTCATCCTGGCATGCGAGGAATAAGCCACCATTACCTCAAAGTAGCAGATTATTTTGCCTTTTGGAACGTGTTGGTGATTTGAACAGGGATTAGGATAGGACTGGATTAAAAAGACTCCTGATGGTTTTTGGCTCATTTGACCCCATGAGGGAACTCCATACTGTTTAAGGTGAATAAAATTTCCATTGTAAATGTTTTTGATTATAAATTCAGCAAAAGGGCCGTCTTCTCTTTACTAACAACCTAATAAACTGCAGAAGTTCTCATCTCTTCACCAGCCAACTTTTCAGTGTTTATTGTAACTCAGTTAACATTAATAGCTCAGAATCGGATAAGTTTACCTCTTGAGGAATCCAAGAACTTGTAAAAGCTGAAATTGACAAATTAAAATAGTGTCATAAAACAAAACAATCTGATTGCTATATATATATACATAGATTGATGTGTGCCAAAAAATGTACTTCATAGAGTTTTTGTTAACATAATGAAGGTTATATAAAATGCTCATTTTGATGTCTTTAAATTCATATAAAATAATTACATATCATTTTGGCATTGAAATAACATTAACTAAAACTGTAAAAGCCAGGGGATACTTTTTATCAACCATAAACAAGTCTGCCGTATCTACTATTATCATTTTTTTTCAGGAGGTATACTGAACACTCATCAACCATGAAGTAACCCCTCATTTTACTTCTTGCACTTCACTTCACAGTAATAATTCATAGTCACAGGTTTTGCAGCTCATCTTCACTCTCTGTTCCAAGAAATACATGTACAATGGTGCATGACTCACTTGTAAAGCTATTTTCCTGATAACTTTAAGTTTTGTTTCCTGTCATAGAAAAGAATTAACAAAGGACCATTAATAAAGTCAAGTCACGATTTCATACCTCTTACCACAGAAGATGTCTGCTATTAAATTAATGTGTATGTACATTGTATACAAAAGGAATGATGGCCTATCGAATGGCATGTCCTGTTCTTCCAAAAAAATTACAGTCAAATCCGGTTAAGTGTACCTCCATAGATTCGATACGAAAAAAACTGTTGCCACTACTAACATCAAAATAATTTAGATATCTACTTTATTGCATGCTTAATGAGCAGCCAATTTTGAACTTCAGAACAACTTCTCAGTAATTTTGTTAGATTATTTTTTTAGACTTTCAAAAGGATGAGAATTAATTCCTTTATGAAGAAATTTATAGATCAACATAATGAAAAATGACCTGGCAGGAATTTTTTCCCACCTTATGTGTGAATTCACTGCTCATCTATGCATTGAGGAATGCAAAAATTATAGTGGTCAACAACTGCTTAATAAATGGAGTCAATTTTCAAATAATCCTAGCATCAAATAATGGAATTTGTAAGGAAAAGTTTGGCCTAGTTTGACTGGGTAATAAAAGCAAAATAAGAAAGAGCCTTACATACAATATCTACAATGTATAATTGGTACTTTTATAAATGCTAAAGGTAAAACCTTTTAAAAGTTCTCCAGTTCTCACCTCACTTTCAAACTGACACCTCTAAAAATAAATAACAATATTGAATGAGATCATAATATACATGACTGCTTTCCTATCCATGATCAGGAAATGTGAATTAATTTTTGACAACCAGCTCAAAATTGAAGAAAACAACATGGACAGGCACTGAATATTGTCGATAAACACCGGGTTATCCAAAAAATAAATAAAAAATAAAAGTACAGGGGTGTCACTAAGATTTCAAGTTTCTGGGTTCATATGAAGAGTAGCCTGGGAATCAACACCTTCTGATCATTTTCACGTTGTTAAACATTTGAAGATAAATATTATATACATTGTATAACTACTAATTATGTAGTCTAAATAAAAAAATCTCACCTGAAAATATTGATGCAGTGGCCTTGGTCGTAAAAGTTCAAAGACCAAGCAGTAATGACCATCAAAGTTGAATGTGTTCTGAAAATACCAGGAATAATAATAATTAATAAGAATGACTTATTAAGACAGACTTATTTATGGAACAAAACAATACTAATAATTTTACTGAAAGTAGATGGCTAACCCAGAAAGTTTGTACTGTTCCTCTCTCTGGAGAGAGTCTGGTGGTTATAAATGAAGTCAGTTAGGCTTTTTTTTCAGGCTACCCTTCAATTTAGGTTATGTACTTACAAACAACTGGACTGTTCTGGAAACTTTGAGGCCATCTGCCTTGTTCAGTTGCTTAAGAAATTCTGCCTCCTAAAATGTAACATTAATAGAAAAAAAACAATAGTAACAGAAATCTGTCCAAAATGTCTCTACACACTGTCACTGTTGTCACTTTGCTGGTACATGTAACTCATGAGTTGGTTTGACAAATCAGCCATGCAGTTAGTTTCAATCGGAACAACAATAATACCATGTAAAGAAAACATAATTATGTAAAGTGGATGTTGGAAAAGAGAAGATCTTAATATTACAAGCATAAATCTGTTGTGGTTCAAATCTTTTCTTGGTTTAAAATTTTTCAAACCAGTTTAATTTTTTACTTTCCTTTGTCTAAAATCAATTACCATAATCAGAGACAAAGCAAAACAAAAAATAAACTGGTTTGAAAAATGTTAAACCAAGGAAAAATTTAAACCCCAACAAATCCAAAATACATCTTTCAGTTCTTTATTACATTTAAGCTAATTTGACAATAGCGCATGGTTAGGTGCTGCAACAATTTCGTAAAACAGATAACAGTGTGTGGAGTAACTGATATATCTGAAAATTTTGTCAGTATTGAATTAGAATCTGAAAAGAACTGTATCTACTGATTTGAAAGTTTAGAAAAAGAAAAACAAAATTTTTATGCTGTGTTCACCTACGTAATTCATAAAGTGGGAGCATGAAATTAGGAAGTTTTATCAATTATGTGCAATGATGGCTACAAAATGTACAAAAACGCGTGATGCACATGCAAAAGAGTTTTTTTGCGAAAATATACCTACATGCATTGCTTTTTTGCTGTTGTCATTGCCGTTGCCGTTGCCGTCGTCATTGCTTTAGCTCCTTATGGTTGTGATTTAGAAGTTTTGCTACCATGGTAATGTGACGTCACACTTCTTCGTCACACTGTTGTTTTTCCTTTGTTTTTAGTTATGTTTATTTGAAACAAAGGAAAAACAAAAATGTACTGTGCAACATATACAATGTTCATGCTAACGCTTACATACAGCACCTGAGCACCAAGCCTTGCATAATCTATATTCATCACTTTAACAGCAACTGGTTTCTTATCAGGGTGAAAGGTATCCTGTTGTAATGAACAACAAACATTTTAATGATGAGAACCATCATAATCTCTAATCACAATGAAAAAGACTGAACATTCTGGGGGCAAAATGCAACAGCTAAATTAACAAGTAATCTATTATTACATCTCAGTTGTTTTAGTTACCAGACATACTGTAACTGTAGCAGGTTTTGCAGTTGCCTTCTCACCTCAGCGGAAACAATAACTGCAGACTGTCCTTGTCCGATCACTTGAACAAATTTGTACCTGCCAGCAAGCAAGGGAACTGAAAAAGATTGCAGACAGTCAGAAAAATGTCAAACCTAATTAAATCTGAGTAAAGGAAGATAAATGTATCTTTATGGGTGTGTTTAAAGCTCACAGACATAAAACAATTAACGAAAATAATTACTACAATTTTACTGGAAGCACTTCACAACTCTGATAGATTTTGCTAGGCTGGTTATTGTAACAGACCAGGAGCCACGCAGTCTACAGCTCTAGTAAGAAAGCTTAGCGACACCTTGACTGATACAGTTAATATAGCACCTGGATAATGTGGCTGAAATTTTCCACCTTTATCCGTCTGAGATCCTGGAATTAGAAAGAGACAGACAACTTGTAACCAATTTGGTAACCTTGAATTAGTATTTACACACCTGTAGACAAAGCTCTCATAAGCGACCACCTAGATTAGGAATTCATCAAAGCAATTGCAATGAAATCTTGTCATTTACTGCCTTACTACGAGCTGATGCTTTATTGTTAGTAATTTTGAAACTTAACAATACCTGCCCAGGAAGAACAAGTTCTGCACTGGGGGCAGGTACAAAACCTGAATTGGATCAACTTAATTAGTTAAAGGAAATACTGTGGGTATTATTGTCTTGTAAGGAGGGGGACATGTAGCCTGAAATTCAGCCGATTGCTTCGAGTCGTTTTCTCCTCTCAACAACGACATTACTGAGGGAGTAATAACGACTTGAAGTAATCGGATGAAATTCAGGCTAGGGGACATGGGGGTTTATGATATTGCAGTATATTGAGCATTTTTTCGAGCAGTATTTCGGTAATTTGGATTTTAATGTGTGGTATTGCAGTATCATCTAGCCCTGCAGTAACCGTACATGTATGTGGTTTTTCATCCTTTTGCTAATGGTATTCGGTAAAAGGAGTTCCTTCACAGTATTGTGATACCGTTCATTCGCGCTATCCTCTCTAATCCGATAACCAGGCTTCTACTGATCAATTTGAGGTCCTTTTACACTTTCTTGCAATGGCTGAGGTTGATTGCTGGTGTATAAGTTACAAGTCAGATTTGATTTCAAGTTAAATTTTTTTAACCAGTCCTAATTATTCATAAATTAGAGCTAGGAAACAAAGGAAAATGAGAATCAACCTTAGTTAAATCAAAATAAAACTGAAATCAAATTTGACCTGTAACATATACACGCTTGAGATAAACAAACTCGCAAGATGGACACATTTTTAAGCAAGCGTGACTGATCATAAATGCAGTATCGGTATTTTGTCAATTTCAACATGATACCGGTAATTCGGTATTTCCCCAATTCCACATTAAATTGCGGTATGGGGTATCCTCCAATGTCCTCCTCAGTAGGTATGTAAATATGATGTTCCTGTCTGAGTTTTGTAAATGCCTGGGTTCTGGAGGTTCTTACCATGTCCTTGATGATGGGTTTTCTTTTGATTCTTAAGATTTTTGTACAATATCTTTATCCCCGCTGAAAGCTGAGCAGCAACAAATTTTTTAGGAGGGAAAACTCTTGTTCTGTAGAAGTCACTGTTCCTGCAGGAAGAGAAGGTACGGTGTAAACTACAGCTGGTAATAATTATTTAATTAATCCTAAAAATAAAAAGATGAATCTACAATCCTGGCCAAATGGTTCTGGGACAACACCAATTTTTCACTTGTTTTTTTTTTTAATGGAATTTGCAGCTAACCCGTAATACACACTCATAAACAAGGCCTTGAAAAGACTTTCCCCCTATGAACAAAGTTGAGGTCCTCAACGTGTGCAAGATATGTAAAAGGCGTTTGACTTGTAACACCCAACACTGTCAACGGGGGAGAGGGGGGTGAATTTGAATTGCATCCTCTGCACCTGAAATACAAAGTGTCCCAAACATTTTGACCAGAATTGTGCATGTAGATTCCATCAAACAACAACCACCCAAGTGAGAGAACACAAAATTAAAACAGTCACACGGCACAGAATAACCTCCCTGGTGAACAAACAATGCAGTGGGAGAAGAAAGACAAAGAAGCTTACATTATTCAAAGCGCTAATTTCGGCACTGTGGGTGTTTGCTTCACCATTGTTGTTGTGAAACGCCTCTTTCAGAGCAGCTTTAGAAACTAGGGAAGGTATAATGGCACATAAGCTATGGCTGAAAAGGTGATCAATACACAAGAACTGCATATTCATGAAAGGATCCAGTTTTAAAATATGGCCTGAGAAGATTTCGTGATGCCACCACTTGTTTCAGACTTGCCAAGTCTCACGATTTCATGACCTATCTCATGCTCTCACAAGTTGCTTCTAAGGGAAACCAGTGGTGGCGCGCCAAATGTGGGCTGTTTTCTTAGGCTATTGTAAAGTACACTGGAAATGGCAATACTCCACTCCTGGTTCCTCTTTATAAGGATGGAATAAAAATTAATGTTTCATGAAGTTGTTAACAGGCTGTAGACAAAATCTGGATCGGACCAGATTGGATCAACCCGTTCTTATCCCTAATGTCTTGTCATTTTAATAGTGAGCTACATGGGTTGATCCAAATCATCCAGTCCCATCCTGATTTTGTTGAAGCCTTTGTTAACACGTTTCACAGCTGAAGGTAATTCATGAATTGTAGCTAATTTTTAACCATATTTATCCATTCAATTAAACTAATCATCTTTCTCTTCTTTTGATTTCGTCATGGATAGTAGAAAAAATTACACTGTATCCATGACATTTGGTGAAAGTGACTCTATTATTAACTTAATCATAGTGCTCCGTACAGCTGTCCATAGAGTCAAATAAAATTGTCTCATATAACTTACCGCTGCGAAGGCGGTGCAAATACTCCATCAAATTTCAGCATCCTCGCTGGAAATAGTCTTTCAATGGTGTTTTGTCTTGTGGTGTGTAAATCAACAAAATACGCAAAGGTTTTTGAGAAGAAGCGGCGGACACCAAATTCGCCGCCATTTTGTTCACTTTCCCCAGTTCTTTGCTCGCGCTGCATAATTATGCAAACACTTTTAATTCTACCCTACCCCTGGTAAGGTGGAGAATTGTCAAAAGAAAAATGGCTTCTGCATTGCTACATGGTGACCGTAGCGATGTAGTTTCCAGAGTTAAGAAAACTCCTTCTCCCGTCGTCCAAAGTAGTAAAACACCAACTCCAAGTGGCAGTGCGACCAACAAACGTCTCAATAGCTCTGCTGGTGCCTCAAAACAACTTGTGTCCGCAGCGAAGGTTCCCGCATCCCGATGTAAATCAGCAGCTAAGCAACGTCCGTCCGACATCTTGAATCCAAAAACAGTTGATCCAGTAAGTAAACCGTCACCTTTTTTGGCTAACACCAGAACGATTTTTATCATCTCATTCGTATTGTGTAAAATTTGTTTTGGTGGTTTATACGGGCAAATTTGCGATCAAAAGATGTGATTACTCATTGCATGTAGACTTGAATTTAATCTGACAGCTCAAAAAGTAAACAAAACATTAGACCTGTAAGGCTTACCCGATTTGTGTTCTAATTTCAGTTTAATGACAAGACACCAAAGTCTTCATTTGCCGCAAGTTACACAAATGGCGGAGTACCATGTCGGTAAGTTTAAATGCAGTATTTTTGAAGGCCTCTTAAATTTTCATGGCTGTCATTTCTGTATTTAAAGAGAGCTAATTTAATTAATTACTGGTCGTATTTATCATTTCGAAGGAACTTGTAGGAAGGAAGACCCAATACTAGTTTACTGGAGTAAAACTATTGTAATTGCGCTCTACACTTGAAGTTGAGCTATCACACAATATTATATTGTTTGGTTTATAAACAATCACAGAGCCTAAGTGATTTTGCAGATTGGTGCTGCCTCAGTGTAATTCATTTTTTTGGCACATAAGCTTACTACTATCTGGTGTTTTTATCTTTCTTATTTTCCTTACTTTTCAGCGTGCAAAGGAGGTAATTTTGCTATCGGGCTAGTGAATATTTCTGTTGTTAACTTACCTGATGGGCAAGTGATGTTTTTTGAGCAATCCGAATAATAGAAGAACTATGAAATCAATTCTGCTGGTCAAAAAGTGTCTGGGGCTAGTTGAAATGACGTCTGGGCTAGTAAATGCTAGCTTCGGCTTGTAGGAAGCTGGAAAAATGGTTTTCTCTGCACCCTTCTTTTTTTTTCCTTTAATTCTATTGCCTTGGCTTGGTTAAACTTCTGTTTTGCATGAAGTGTCTTTCTGTCGCCACCATGATCAGATCTGGGGGGAAAGCCCCAGGGTTGTCAGAAAGTTTTGAAGTAGACAGCTGAGCTGTCAAAGTAAGCGGCCAGTCCAGCAATATTTTATTTAAAAAAACGCCATCTTTTTAAGAAATACCAAGCAGAGTAGCCGGTTGATACTAACCAAATAGGTGGCGATTTTTGCCAGCAGCCAGCTACTTTTGACAACCCTGCCCAAAGGCCTACATGTAGTTGGCATAGCACAGCCTGTTTTGTGACCAGGTTTACTGGATGAATTTGAACTGCATTTTTCATTATTTGCCTCTAGTTTATTTCTACTGTATTTAATATTAATGTCTTTGGGCTTAATAAAGGGGTCACTGTTGACGTGTAGTCTGGGATCATATATCTTTAGTTTGACTGTAATTGATGAAATGTTTCAGGGATTTTATAACAGTTCTTCATCTTTGTTTAGCTTAGTTCACGGCTCTGTTAAACACAAACTTCATTGGAACACACCTCCTGATAACTTGCCATTTGATCCTGTGTTAGTTATATTAGCAGAGGTGAGTATGTAAAGCGAGAAAGGGCTGACACAGCCAAAAAAACCAAAGGATTCATTATAATTTTCCATTTACGTAAGTTTTTCCCCTAACAGTACTGTACCAATAATATTAGGGGTGGCGAATGGTAAAATCCGAGACTCGCCGAGACACCGAGACCCTAGTTAGAAATCCGAGCCAGAGACTCTTTGGTAAAAAGTTTCGAGACTCAAAAAAGTTAAAGACAAACCATGCAAAAACGAGACTTCGAGACTTATCAAAAACGCTTCCGAGATTTCGAGATCCTGTTAAAATTTTCCGAGACCCACGTTTTTCGAGGTACCATTCGCCACCCCTAAGATTGATAATTTCACTAGGTTTGATTTGCGGTGTTACATGTAGGATAAGGGTTGGAGTGTCAGTTAAAAAAATTTTGTCATACCTTCATTTCTAACCTCTCTGATAAGTTTTGGTTGGTAAATTTCATACAGTGTAGCTGACTATGTTAGTAAATCAAACATTAGCATATGTCAGTTTTGTAGCCTGGAAGAAAACACATGATTATCTCTGAGAAACAGATCAAGAGTCTGATATTATTTTTCACTATTCTCAGGGTCTTCGGGAAACAAAACACCCTTACACATTTGTTGCCCGTGAAGGGTTTAGAGAGATGCTTGAAGTAGATGATGCCGGGTCACGGACATTACCGATATTATCTAAGCTTATTGTTCCACTCAGAGCTGCTCTGGTAAGTTTAACTTAATAAACTAAGTAGCACCCATAATTAACTACCATTTTATTTTTTAGGAATTCATACAGAGTTGAAACCCTCTTTTCAGATACATGTAGTCAAAATGTACAGGTCCTACTGTTTGTTAGCCTGTTTTTCAATCTTGAGACTTTAGTAAAGTGTGTCTGTTTGATATTGAAACCAGGTTTGGCCAGTGTTTTATTTAACCACACATCGATTGAAAGTAATATTCACTCGTTATTGTAGTAAACAATGTCAAAAATATGTAAATAAATAATTAAATAATGAGTTAGAGGAAGCACATCCACGTAGTGGCTCTTTGTCTACCTGATTCCTGCTCGAAATGGAATTTGGAAACAACTGTTTTGAGGAGATGGGTAGAATGGAGTACCCAAAGAAAAACCTCTCAGAGCAAAGGAGAGAACCAGCAACAAACTCAGCCATGCATTTGCATCAATGCCAGGATTTGAACGTGGGCCAAATTGGTGCATTGGAGGCAAGTGCCCTTACCACTGCGCCAAAAACAGATAAATGTTATATTATTACAGAATAATGTACACTGGTATTTATGACTGGCTTAATGAGCAAGATGCAGTGAATCTTTAACTGCCATCTGTGAATGTTTGCATTGGAGGCTATTGTGTTTATTATCAAGTTTTTTTTTTAGGCTTCAACAGACACTCAAGTTTTCTACAGCTCTTTAGAAGCACTGGTTCAACTCAGTGCAGTTACAGGCTCTTCCCTCATCTCTCATCTGAAGGCTCTCTTACCACAGGTAACTTCTACTCACTGACTACCACTCTCCTTGTCAATCAGTTGTAAAAAAATGGAAAAAAGGGCAATGCACTTTAATTTTGTATTGATTAAAAAAATACACCAAAAGTAAGCTTCTTCAGTAGTAATTATGAATCTTTTCTTTAGTCACAATGTACCATAATGGATTTGTTCTATCAGAAGTTGATTAGTTTGAATGGAAACTATTAATGCCACCTCTGTGGGCCTGACTTTGTACCTCATAATGGTCGGAGATGACAGTCCACTATAAACTGTTGACTACCTTATCTCATAGCTGTATTCCCTGACTATGCAATAATAATTGTTATCTGCATTTATGTTACATTTGCAGGTGTCAAAACGTTTTATGGACAAAACTCAGAAAGAAAGAATATTACTTGCCTTACAAAGACTTGAACAAAATCTTGGAAAGGTAGATAATAACAGTTTTACAAGTCGGTATTTCAGAGTATACACTTGAAATAATTTTAAATCTTTTTAACATAAATACTTTTACTAAGATGTGGGTTAAGCTTGGAAGCTATTTTAAAATTTGTTTAGATGTGTCATTATTATCTTCTAGAGAAATAAAAAGCTCAGAGGATCAACAGTAGTCCACCCTTGCCCCTTTCCTCCCCCCCTGAAAAAATTAGGATCATAGAAATATTAATTTATTTATGTAAAAATTTAATTGTTTTAGAAGACAGATGTTAATTTTTTGTTTTTGAAAACAAAGCAAACATTCCAGGATCTAGAGGGTTGCAGTCCCCCACAATCTACTCAAGCATTGAGACATTAAATAAATAATATTACAAACTAAAAAGTACAAGCATAGCAAATTAGTTGTTATGCTCTGCCATTTTTGTCACGCCTGCAGCTAGATGCAATGACCACCCACCCTGAACAATACAGTGGCAGATCCAGGGGAGGGGTCCGGGCCCCCCTTACTTTTAGATCAAACTGAGGCCTGAAGGGCCCAGAAAAGTTTTGGGAGATGGGCCCAACCCCCCACCCCACCCTTCAAAAGCTGAAGAAAAGACCTATACCCTTTCTCTACCATACCCAAGCTATCATAAATTTTTATCTAGTTATCAGTAGCTAGAAAACCAATACAGCTAGCTGACCATACTACTTACAAACAGAGTTATGTTATGACAAATGACATTAGTTAATGACAACAGTTCAAGAACGTGATTGCTCTTTGCTTTCAGTTGAAAACTTTGGGTTCATTTCCTTGCAGGAATGTGTCCCCATCATCAAGTCCAAAATACCAACATACCAAGCAGTCTGCTTATAGCATCACTCTCACAGCTCTTGAAAGATACATGTACAACATGAACTATATCATAACTTTTATATGAACATGGATAATTTATTGTACTTCTTGGAAATAGGAAAAAATGTCAGATTTTTACTTGTATTATAAAAAAAGGTTTCCTGGGCTCATCATCATTATGAATTGAAGACTTCTGGGTCTGGTTATTCAAATATCAGAGACCTTTAGCATCAAGTTTCTCATGGGAAACCGCAAACTGCAGTTTGCAGTTACACACTTGCAGTTTCACGATGCCGGGATTTCAGGTTTTGAGCAAGGTATTCTTTGTTTTGTGCTGCCATATTTTTTGTCAACTTCAAGTTCATCACTTTTTCTTGTTCAAAGACATGAATAATTCATTGATTTGAGTTGAAAAATCTAACTAGTATGTTGTCACTGGAGGATATAGAAAGCTACTTCGTACCTTTAAACGTGGGGCTGTACAATTTTTAGAGGCAAAAAATCCTGGCCATAATTCACTTACCACTGGAAGCCCTTCCTGGGGTTAAAACGTGAACTGCAAA